GTCAGCCGGCCAGTCAGCATCAGCCGGCCTGTCGGGGTCAGCAGGCCCATTGGAGTGAGCAAACCTGTCACTGTGGGCAAGCCAGTGGGCGTCAGCAAACCCATTGGCATCAGCAAACCAGTCACGGTCAGCAGGCCCGTGCCGGTCACTAAACCTGTGCCGGTCACCAGGCCTGTCCCGGTCAGCAGGCCCATGCCAGTCACCAAGGCCATGCCAGTTACCAGGCCTGTGCCGGTCACCAAGCCCATAACGGTCACCAAGCCCGTGCCGGTCACCAAGCCCGTGCCGGTCACCAAGCCCGTGCCAGTCACCAAGCTCATCACAGTTACAAAGCCTGTGCCGGTCACCAGGCCAGTGCCGGTCGGCAGGCCCCTGGTGGTCAGCAGGCCAGCTGCCATCAGCCGACACTCCCCGCCCTGCAAGGTGGTGCTGCTGGCCAAGTCTGAGAACAGAGTACCGCGCACTGCGGGGAGGAGCAGCGGTAAGAAAAGGTATGGGGCTCCTTCCCAGCGGGGCACTCCTCGGGGCACAGGTCGGCCTCGCGGCCCTCACTTCATCTGCTGCCTGCAGGGCTGCAGATGGGCTGGACGCCTGCCCCATCCCGCCCAAGCAGCTGAGGCCAGAGAACGGGGAGTGCAGCCCGTCCCCCCCAGGACAGAGCTCGGCCATTCAGCTGGGTGTGGACCTCGGTAGCTGCCCGCTGTCGCCCGGTGGCAGGCCCTCGGGGAGCGAAGAGGCACCCCGGGCTGCAGGCCCCATGTCGCTGCCTGACGAGGACCCAGAGCGCACAAAGCACAGTAAGACGAGGGCCCAGGGCAGAGGCTGGGGACGCCCAACCCCCAAAGGCTGTTTGACCAGAACCTTGGCCCTTGTATCCTCTCCCCCGAGTCAGGAAGGAAACAGAAAACACCCAAGAAGTTTACAGGGGAGCAGCCATCCATCTCAGGGACCTTCGGGCTCAAGGGTAAGACCCCAGCCAGGGGGCACCATGGGACTGGGTGCCCCTGTGTGTGCCTGTGCCCTCAGCCCACCAGCTCCCCTGCCACCCTGTGCACACAGGCCTGGCCAAAGCCGAGGACAAGGCCCGAGTTCACCGCTCCAAGAAACAGGAGGGGCCCAGCCCCGAGGATGTGCGGAAGAAGGTGTCGGCCACCTCTGTCACCTCTGTCACCACTGGCAAGGAGGCCCCGGCGCCTGTGGCCCACCAAGCCCCAGGTGGGGGCAGCCTGGTGGGGCCCAGGGCAGGTGCCAGCATAGCACAGGGGTGGGGGGCCTAGCGTGGACCCTCGACACCGCGCTTGGGGTTCCAGGGCATCCGGGACCCCACAGCGCCTGAGGCCCCACACTGCCCCATAGGCGGCCCTGAGGAGCACTGGCAACGGGCCATCCACGAGCGGGGAGAGGCCGTCTGCCCCACGTGCAACGTGGTCACCCGGAAGACCCTCGTGGGGCTCAAGAAACACATGGAGGTGTGCCAGAAGGTGAGGCTGCCCTGAGAGCCGGAGGGAAGCCCCAGATGCAGGCTGTGTTCAAAATGGCCATCTGCAGGTGGGCGCAGGCTGTGTTCACAGTGGCTGTCTGCAGGTGGGCACAGGCCACGTTCACTGTGGCTGTCTGTGGCCAGGTGCAGACCCAAGTTCATTGCGGCCGTCTGTTTCTGGGTGTGGGCCCAAATTCACTATGGCCGTCTGTGGCCAGGTGCAGGCCGCGTTCGGTTCACTGTGACCATCTGTGGCCGGGTGCGGGCCCAAGTTCACTGTGGCTGTCTGTGGCCGGGTGCGGGCCCAGATTTACTGTGGCCATCAGTGGCCGGGTGCGGGCCACGTTCAGTTCACTGTGGCCGTCTGTGGCCAGGTGCAGACCCAAGTTCACTGTGGCCATCTGTGGCCGGGTGCAGGCTGCATCCAGTTCACTGTGACCATCTGTGGCTGGGTGCAGGCTGCGTCCTGTTCACTGTGACCATCTGTGGCCGGGTGCAGGCCCAAGTTCACTGTGGCCATATGTGGCCGGGTGCAGGCCGCGTTCAGTTCACTGTGAACATCTGTGGCCGGGGGCAGGCCCAAGTTCACTGTGAACATCTGTGGCCGGGTGCAGGCTCAAGTTCACTGTGGTCGTCTGTGACCAGGTGTAGGCCTGCACTCATAGGAGCTGTCTACACTTGGGCACAGGCCATGCTCACAGGGGCCGTCTGTGGCCAGTTGCAGGCCCAAGTTCATGGCAGTCATCTGTGGCCAGATGCAGGCCACACTCACGGGGGTTTTCTGCAGCTGCAGGACGCACTCCGATGCCAGCACTGTAGGAAGCAGTTCAAGTCCAAGGCCGGCCTCAACTACCACACCATGGCAGAGCACAGTGCCAAGGTGCAGCCCTGCCCCGTCCCTAGCCCCTCCTGCCCAGCCTTGGACCCATGGCCCTGGCCTTGGGGTGGGCAGGGTGGACACTGAGGTTTGCCCTGTTCCCAGCCCTGTGACTCTGAGGCCTCCATTGGGAGTGAACAGGAGCGGGAGCGGCTACGCAAGGTGCTGAAGCAGATGGGGCGGCTCCGCTGCCCCCAGGAGGTCAGTGGAAGGGCCGGGGCACAGGGCTTGGCGCCTCACTGCCACCTTCAGATCTCTGACCCTGGCCCTGACCCCCAGGGCTGCGGGGCTGCCTTCTCCAGCCTCATGGGCTACCAGTACCACCAGCGACGCTGTGGGAAGCCACCCTGCGAGGCGGACAGCCCCTCCTTCCCCTGCTCCCACTGCGGCAAGACCTACCGCTCCAAGGCCGGCCACGACTACCACGTGCGCTCAGAGCACGCAGCCCCGGTGAGGGCCCAGCCATCCCCTGCCTGTCCTGGGGCTCCCGTCAGCTCCATGCCGTGCCCGGTGCTCTCGGCCTGTGTCATGCGTGCTGCCCTTCAGGGTTCTCTGGTACTGAGCACGCTTGTCCGTGTGCTGGGTCCTCTCTGGGAGACACACGTCTCAGGAAGGTGGGGGCCTGGGGCCCTGGGGCCCCTGTCCCATGAACTGCTTTTGTTCTCCATGTCCCCAATGTGTCCTGGGCCATGCGTGGCCTGCATCTCATGACCCTGACCTGCCGTCTCTTGCTGTCCCTCGGTGGCCTCCACGCATCTCCATTTTCCAGCCCCCTGAGGAGCCTGCAGATAAGCCCCCCGAGGCAGAGGACCTCCTGGGTGTGGAGCGGACACCCAGCGGCCGTGTACGCCGCACGTCGGCCCAGGTCGCCGTGTTCCACCTGCAGGAGATCGCAGAAGATGAGCTGGCCCGCGACTGGACCAAGCGGCGCATGAAGGATGACCTGGTACCTGAGACTGCACGGGTGAGCTGGGGCCATGGCCAGGGCTGGCCATTCCCGCCTATTCCCAAGCTCCCAGCCCCCTGGTCTCCAGCAGGACGTGCGTTGGCCGAGTCCCTGCGACATCTCTATGCCCAGGGCTACCTTCCCATCAGCAAGGGGCCTGTGGCCTCAGCTCATGGTGCCGCCTGCCTGACCTTGCAGCTCAACTACACCCGGCCAGGCCTCCCCACGCTCAGCCCCCAGCTACTGGAGACGTGGAAGACCGAGGTCAAGGAGAAGGGCCACGTTAGCTGCCCCAACGACGTGAGCCGGGGAAGGCTGGGGCGGGCGGGAGGTGGGGCTCGGGAACAGAGGTCAGGCCTGTCTCTTGGGTGGGGCTGGGGCAGAGACAAAGCCTCACCAGGAGTTGGGCAAGCTCAAAGTGGCCGACCCATCTCTGACCCTGGGCCCTGCATGGTCCTTAGACAGAGACCCCTGTCGGCAGAGGGGGCCTCAGCCTCAGGCCCCACACGCCCAACCTGCCCACACCCCAGGAAGCCTGGGGTCGAGGGCTTCGACTTGCCCCAAAGAGGCCTCAGCTCTCTGTGCTGGGCCGGTGCACACCTCTGTGAAGCCCCCAGCCCTGGCCCACGCTGCCTTCCCACAGGGCTGTGAAGCCGTCTACTCCAGCGTGTCTGGCCTCAAGGCACACCTCGCCAGCTGCAGCAAGGTGGGTGTTGGGGCTCTCCCAGGGGGCTGCATCTGCCAAGGGTCCCCACACACCTGCATGAGGCCCCATGTGACCCCCCCGGGTGTGGCATAGTGGCCAGCCGGTAGCCCCAAGTCGGCCCAGGTCGCCGTGTTCCACCTGCAGGAGATCGCAGAAGATGAGCTGGCCCGCGACTGGACCAAGCGGCGCATGAAGGATGACCTGGTACCTGAGACTGCACGGGTGAGCTGGGGCCATGGCCAGGGCTGGCCATTCCCGCCTATTCCCAAGCTCCCAGCCCCCTGGTCTCCAGCAGGACGTGCGTTGGCCGAGTCCCTGCGACATCTCTATGCCCAGGGCTACCTTCCCATCAGCAAGGGGCCTGTGGCCTCAGCTCATGGTGCCGCCTGCCTGACCTTGCAGCTCAACTACACCCGGCCAGGCCTCCCCACGCTCAGCCCCCAGCTACTGGAGACGTGGAAGACCGAGGTCAAGGAGAAGGGCCACGTTAGCTGCCCCAACGACGTGAGCCGGGGAAGGCTGGGGCGGGCGGGAGGTGGGGCTCGGGAACAGAGGTCAGGCCTGTCTCTTGGGTGGGGCTGGGGCAGAGACAAAGCCTCACCAGGAGTTGGGCAAGCTCAAAGTGGCCGACCCATCTCTGACCCTGGGCCCTGCATGGTCCTTAGACAGAGACCCCTGTCGGCAGAGGGGGCCTCAGCCTCAGGCCCCACACGCCCAACCTGCCCACACCCCAGGAAGCCTGGGGTCGAGGGCTTCGACTTGCCCCAAAGAGGCCTCAGCTCTCTGTGCTGGGCCGGTGCACACCTCTGTGAAGCCCCCAGCCCTGGCCCACGCTGCCTTCCCACAGGGCTGTGAAGCCGTCTACTCCAGCGTGTCTGGCCTCAAGGCACACCTCGCCAGCTGCAGCAAGGTGGGTGTTGGGGCTCTCCCAGGGGGCTGCATCTGCCAAGGGTCCCCACACACCTGCATGAGGCCCCATGTGACCCCCCCGGGTGTGGCATAGTGGCCAGCCGGTAGCCCCAAGTCCCGCCTGCCTCAAGTCTGCGTGCCTGGTTGTGAGCAGCCACTCGCCAAGGCTGAGGGCATGCTGGTCGGGGAGGGGCCCTCGGGAAGGTCTGCAAACCTTCCAGGGCCTCTTCCCACCCTCCCCTCCCCACCTGCCCGCAGCAGAGGTGACTTGGTCCCTGATGTCCATGTGGGATGTGGTCTGGCATGATAGCCACAGCTTCCCTGAGCTGCCTTTGGCCCTGCCCTCACCCATGGCTGAGGAATGAGGGCTTGGTGGGAGCTTTGGGCCCTCCAGGCTCTGCCCCCTTTTTTGGGGCATGGTCCACTTTGGGGGTCCACTGTGCCTTGCAGGGGGACCACCTGGTGGGGAAGTACCACTGCCTGCTGTGCCCCAAAGAGTTCAGTTCTGAGAGTGGCGTCAAGTACCACATCCTCAAGACCCACGCGGAGGTGCGCCAGCTGTGGGGACCTGGGCGTGGCTGCGGCTGGGCGTGGCGGCGGCTGGGCGGGCCCTGTGCCACGTTTGAACAAGTGGCCCGTATGGGGAGGGCTGGCCATTTCTCATTGAGGTGGGATCCAGTGTCCTTGTAAGGGCCAGGAATCCGGGGAGCCCCCACGCCCCGAACAGGGGCTACTCCTGCTGGACCTGTAGTTCAGGGACGGGATGCTGGCTCCCAGTGCTCCCGTCCCCGGGTCCCCACGCTGCTCTTCTACCCTCAGAACTGGTTCCGAACCTCGGCAGACCCTCCTCCCAGGCACAGGAGCCAAGACTCACCAGTGCCCAGGAGGGAGAGAAAGAAAAGCCCAGCGGCTGGGAAGAAGCGGGGCCGTAAGCCCAAGGAGCGGCCCCCCGAAGAGCCCGCACCCTCCCGCCGGGACGACTGGCCTCTGGGAGGCAGAGACAAGGGGGCGCGGGGGCCCGCTGGCCGGAAGGTGGCAGCCGGCAAGGCACCTGAAAAGTGAGCCTGGGGGCCTGGCCCCGAGCTGGCCTCCAGGACTGCTCTGTCTAGGGCAGGTAGCCTGCTCTGGACCCCCTGTTATCCTGTCTTCACTCCCCACCCCGCTCTCATCCATCCAGTGGGGGTAGCCAGCCCCTCCTCTGCCTGGAGGTGGCCCTTCCCCTCTCCAGGCTGGCGCCAGGGGGTACCAGGACGCAGTGCGGTAGCCTAGAGGCCGGCGCCCAGGGGCTGCAGTGCAGAGCAGGCAGCTGGCCTCCAGGCCTCTGCGTCCTAAGGCCCCGCAGGCCCCCAGCCTGGCTCGCCTGAGACTCAGGCGTCCCTAGTGACCAGCCGCCATCATCTGGCCTCGCCTCTACCCGACACTGGAAGTCCAGCACCCTAGCTACCTCCCAGGACAGCCCGTCTGACCACTGCCATGCCGACTTGCCTCCCTCCCTCCTGCCCTCCCTTGGCTCCTTGGCTCTGCTTTCTACCTCTCCAGCCTCACCCCACACAGCCCCAGACCCTGCTGTACTCCAGGCCCACCCCTCCTAACAGCTTTCCTCTGCCAGCCGCCCGGGCCTACTTGGAGCAAGGCAGCCCTCGCAGGCAGCAGGAGCAGGGGTTGGAGGCCTGGGCAGAGGGGCAAGGCTTTGACACTGCAGGCCCAGGTCAGGCAGCCTGATGGGGCAGGGATGGCCCAGGGACGTGTGGGCAGAGGTCTGGGCACACAGGTCCGCAGCGAAGGCCGCCTTGTACCTGCCTCGTTTCTAGTCACGTGGTCACTTGATGCAGGAGCTGAAGGCCAGCCAGTGAGGGCTGGGACAGGTCTTGGTGGGCTGGAGGCATCTCCAGGTCTCCTGAGGGCACCTGGGTCTGCAGGTCAGGCAGGGGTCAGGGAGGAGCCAGGGTGCAGGAGGAGGTGCCACAGTGCCTCCAGCTTCCCTGGGCCCTGGCCTTCAGGAGCGCACTGTAGGGAGAGAGTGTTCGGAGGGTGGGTTTGAGCAGAGACCGTTTTCCAGTCGGGGCTGGGGTGGGTTGAGGGCTCAGCCTCGCTGGTCCTGGACTCTGTGGGTTTTGGTGTTTGCCCGTGTGCGTGTGTCCTGGGTGTAGTGGATGCCAGTCTTGTTGCTGTGGCAGGTGACAACCTTTTTTTAAATTCTGTTTTTTTATACAAAAACTCACAATCTGACATTTTGGTGCTAAGGGTTTCCTGGGGCTGATGGTAGGGCTGGGGGCTAGGCTTGGCCAGGCTGTTGGCTTCTGGATCTGGAGTCCCTCTGCTTCTCAGGGAGGCAGTACTGACTGGGCATCCCTCTGCCCTCACCCAGCCCCCAGGGAAAAGGGCCTCAGCTGGGCCGGGCCGTCCTGCCCTGCGGGACAGAAGGGAGGCAAACGGGCAGCTTTGGGGACTGGAATCTCCTCCTACTTTGGCCAGAAGGCTCTGGCCCTCAGCAGCCTGGGCCCAGTCTGCCAAGGAGGGTGCAGGGTCCTGGACTTGTCCACTCCTACACGTCCTGGGGGCAGTGGGCAGCAGTGGGTGTGGGCATGGGCTTTAGGGCAGGAAGGCGTTCTTCTGTGTCCCTGAGTGTCAGTAGGGTGTGCCCCTGCCGGAAGTGGCAGTAGGATCAGCAGCCCCTGCACAGGCAGCCTCCACGGGGAGGGCGGGAGCTGGCAAAGGTCCAGGTGTGCTTTGTCCTTGTCACCAGTGGCAGGGGGGGGGCAGCCCCCCGCCCCAGGGTGCAGCTGCCTCCCCGCCTCTCAGGTACTTGGCCCTCGGGGAGGGGGTGTTGGCAGGACACCCCAAAGTCCACAGGGAGTCCCTGATGTGGGAAGAGGGGCCCTGGGTAGGTGGAGGTTGAGCACTTTATACCCCGCTGTGTCTGGGAAGCAGCTGCTGGGTGGGACCCTCCTGTCTCCCCAGTGTGGACTGGTCTGAAAGGGGAGTACCCAAGGGGGACAGGGTCTGCCTGCCTCCCAGTCTGGCCCACCGGTGGCCAGAGGACCACCAGACTCAACAGACCCTGCAGGCCCTGAGCCCTGGGCACAAGCAAGGCAGGATCCCTTCCTGCCTATCTACCTCTGGCCCCAGCGCACACCCTGGCCCTGAGGACAGGAATGTGCCCGAAGGGCCAACCCAAGGGGCTGATGGTTCACCGAGGACAGGGAGCACGTCATTTTCTAGTGCAGAGGGGTGAGGGTGTCTTGCGTGACCTTTGGCCCTGCTGTCTGGTGGCCCAGGAGGGGAAGTCCCCGCAAGGAGGAGGGGAGGCTGTCACGTGCCTGTTGGGCGGTGGCCAGCGGGCGTTTTACGCTTTGGGTTTCTTGGTTTGGGTTTTTTAATGCCAGTTTTCAGTACATAAGTGCATTTTGAGAGAGAGGTTCCAGCTATCACTTGTAACCATATATAAACATATATATTCTATCTACAAAGTGTTTATTTGCAAGATGTTTTGACGGTGAGCTCGGGCCCTGCCCGCCTGTGACCATCTGTCCCCGGTCCTCGTCCCTGTCCTGGCCCCGCGTGGTACGGGGCGGGCCATCAACTGTATGTATTACAAATGACTGTATCAAATAAATGTTTATTGATTTTTTTTTTCCAGGGCCCGTGTGCGGCTGAGTTCGTGCTAGAACGCTGGAAGGCGATCCTTGTTGGGGTGGCGGGGTCGGGCCCTGCGCGGCACTTGGCGGGCGACGGCCCGCCGCACGGCCTTGTGGGACTTGTAGTCCGCGGTGGGGGAGGGGGAGTGTCGCACCCACGGCCGGGAACTACAACACCCGGCGGTCCCTGCGCGCGGCCTCGGACCC